ACTTGATCAGCACCCCGCAAGTGCCCTTTAATGGAGCCCTCATGGTCCTCAATAGTGGGTATTCAGGGTATAATAGAAGGTACCCAGAGACTGCAATATTTCTCAATTAAGGAATCTACCTCAAACATATTAGGGATCCTACTAGAATCGGTATATTCCTCAATTGCGGGATATTGAAGTCTGTGGGTGGTTGGGGGCCCTTTTTTCCGGCAGGTCGCCGTGAAGACCGGCGTGGGTATCGATGAGGTGGGCTTCGACTGGATCCACTTGATCAAGAGGCGCCGGGTTCTTGTTAAGGGACCGAGGGTTCCTTTTGAGGGATCTATAAGGGTTCCTGTAAGGGGTCCTATAAGGGATCTATAGCGTGATTCTGGATCCACTTGATCAAGGTCTGGAGGGTTTGGGGTGCTAGGTTTCGGGATTTACAATTTACGGCCGCGAGTTTGAATGAGCTGTATGTGCTTAGGAGTTCAGGGTGAATGAGCTCACGCGTAAAGGGTTGTCGCCAGGTAAATTAACTTGGCACTGACCCGAAGTGGTAGGGTAGTATGAGAAGGACTCATGAGTTCAAAGCGGGTCCCCAAACCTCAGAATCTCAGAAGCTGCGGAAGACAACTCTTGACAAGCCGAAGGTAACTTCCGGATGCCTCCGCAGAGTGCCTCGTTCCGTGACAGTTCAAAAGTGCGTCCGAAGGTTTCAAGCCAGGTCTCCACGGAAGGGTTTTCATATCTGATCAATAGGGTTTAGGGCTTTAGGGTTTAGGGTTTAGGGGTTCGCATGCATGGCCATCATAGGATGAGTGAAGTATTCATTGCATCATTTGCCATGGCAAGTTCAGCCCGAGACCCTGCCTGAGTTCTAGTCGAACTTGAAAGTCACGTGCTGTGAAGCCCGAAGCGAATCCGAATCCTCAGCCCCAAGCACAGTGTAATGTGTAAGCTTAAATCTCAGGTCTCAGCGTGTGCAAGTTATAGTAACCTTGCTAGAACCTTTTCGAAAGAAGCCCTATTCTGGTGATTAAGGCCCCCATACTATGTACAAGCGTGTATTGTAGAGTGAGCCCAAAACTGCACCCTAAACCCTAGGAAGTCAAGGCTTTGGGCTTCCCAGCTTCCATGCACTAAGGCAGTGGGAAATGAACGGCTGAGGGTTCATGGTCTAGGGTTTCCTGCAGCTTTGGAACAAACCTCCTGCTTCTGACGTGGTGGTCAGGCTGCAAAACATCATGGCCCAACTAAGTTAAATGGCCCACATCCTACAGTGACAGGCCCGCAACACGTCAACCCATACTACCATACCGTGCATCCAAAGCTCAGTCCAGACTCTATGTGCTTCAATCTAACCCTAGACCCGAAGCCCTAAGCCAAGCCCTGTTGTGCCAGCAGTTCATTGAAACGAAAACACAAGGCCAGACCATCATTCATTGTAACCTACAGCTGCATGTGAACCCTAAATAAAATTTCCTAGAAGTCCATACCGCCTGAACCCGTTCAGGGGTATATGATAGCATCGTTTAGGGACAGACCACAGCGCGACGCTGTTAGGAAGTATTCAGACTTCGATATAATGGTCTCTGCGTTTGAAGCCCTAAACCCTATAAACTCTAAACCATAAACCCTGAACCCTAAACCCTAAACCCTGCGTCACACTGCTCCCTTGCTGAAGCAATGGGTCGACAAAGATCCCGGAAAGACCTGGCCCGAGACTCAACTCCAGAAAGGTTTAGGGTTTCTTTATAGGGATCTATAGTCGTTCTTCAAAGGGATCTAGAATGGTTTAGGGTCTAAGGGTTTGCAGGGCTTAGGGTTTAAGGGGTTTAGGGTTTAAGGGGTTTAGGATTTAGGGTTTAATGGGTCTAAGGCTGAGGGTTTAGGGGCATTTTCATGTTGAGGTTGTGCTTTTTTTGGACTTTGGGTTTCTGTGATGTTTGGCTGGGGGTTTTTGAGCTAGGGGTTCTTACATACCGGATGCATATACGGGTACTGTAAGGGCTCCTTCAAGGGCTCCGGTTCATATTACAGTGCTGCGAGGACTTGTGCTGTACCCTTATTCCCTTTTTGTAGTCCTAGGTTCCTTGTAGAGTTACCCAATACCAAAAACGGAGCCCTTTTTATTCCTAGGTGACTGGGCATCCTGGATAAAGGGTTTAGGGCAAAGAGGAGGGTTGATTGCTCAAGGCTTCCGTAGACACCAACTTCCGTTCTCCTCCTGGCTGGACATGTCCTTGCACCGTGTTTGCTGTAGGACGATCCCGAGTCAGTGTAGCTCTTGGAACTGTGAGTTTCAGAAAGAGAGTGACCCTCATACAGACCATGAATGCAATAGTAGGCTTACGGCACCATAGTTTATTTTCAACAAGCTCGCACACAGGACACCTGGAGCAAACCTTACACAACTCTACCGTGAAAGGTGGCCTTGAGACGGTTTCCTAGACCCCCGAGCCTGAGACCCTCAAAACCTTCCAAGGGAAGCCTGGCGAACCCTATGAATATCTATGAACCCATGCCTTGAACCCTAAACTACCGTGCCCCCTCCACCCCTCCCAAAGTCTGACTTCTCTTATCCAAGGGTAAAAGGAGGGACCCTTTATAAGGACTTCTAAGTATATACCCTTAAGATAGCTATTATATATCTATAATATATAGCCCATTATGGGGTAGGGGGCCCCCATTAAGGGTCCCTCCTTCTCCCCTTTGAAACCAGCCTCCAACATGTTCAACCCTTCAAGTTCGATCGCAGAGGTCAGGGAGGGGACCTAGAACTCTAAGTAGTAGGATCCTTATTATGCGGACACCAAAATAAGGTATCCCTAATTTTGGGAAACTCCCACATGTTCAACCCGTCAAGTTCGATCTCAGAGGCCAGGGAGCTAAGTTGGCTCTTCCTAGGCGCCCGGCTGTGGGTGCCGTCGGTTTAGTGCTTCTAGGGATCAGGATTTCGGCTGTTGTTCTCGGCGGATAGTGTTGATGTGTGGAGCGTTCAAAACAGGCCGTGCATGCGGCTTTGACAACCCTACACCTCAAATCCTGAAAGGCCCCAAACCCAAAGCCACTTAGCTTTCTATTTCTTGTCGCGCCTTTGCAAGATTGGCTAAAGGGCCCTGGCTGTTGCGTCGCTTTGCGAGACTCCTTAGAGTTTGCACTTTAGGCTGTAGGGGTTAATATTGGGGGGTCTTAATAATTACCTGCACTATTTCGGTTGTTTAACCAAAACCCTATTCTGATTATGCAGGCGCCTATAGTAATTACCGGTTTAGGGGTTAGGGCTGAGGGTTTTCGACCCTATACAGCAGGTGTCCTTCATGGAGACACACATACTGGGTTTCTTGGTTAAGCTCCCTCTAGGTAAGGGTTCCAGACTTTGTAAACGGGGGAGTTGTTTAGGGCTCGACCCACGGAGTCATGTTCTCAGGCTTTTCCCACAGACCATACTTAACGAGGGGTCTAGGAGCCTAGATCAGGGTTTGGGGTTTCGTGTGTTTGTTGGGGGCTGTCATTCGTTGTTTGCTACACGGGTCTGTAAGGCCATGCCAATTTGCAAATTGGATGTCCTCAGGTCATCATCCTGTAGCGGTCAGTGTGTGTGTGTGTGTATGTGTGTGTGTGTGTGTGTGTTGCATGCTGGCCTTTGATATCACGAACATGTACCCAATGGTGTTACTGTTCATGTTAGCATGCGGAAGCCATTTCCTAGTGCCTTTTGCAGGGACGGTAGCTTAAGAGAAGCAGTTGCGAGTAGTTGTCTTGTGGTAATCTGATAGTCAGTCTTACATTCAATAACATTCTAAAGTATGGTAGCTACTATGGTAAGGTTGGAATTTGCTTTTGCCCACCGCAGCCACAGAGCGGGCTCAAATGTGATCAGGTCCCCCACATCCAGGCCGGATTTGTACTATAGTATGCACCAGAACCCAAATTGTTCTAACTGCGAAGGCCCCAATACTACATTTGCAAGTGGATGTCAGGTCTCCACAGGCTTGACTCACCAGTTGCTGACTCGACCCTAAACCCCAAACCCTTAAACCTTAAACCCCTAATAGAGGCTCCCTCTCGAGGTTTCGAACGCTTCAGTAGACGGACAGAAACGGGCCTTCTCTAAACAACCTAGTAAACCCTCGACTGCTCCAGCCTATTGGGTTTTGTCATCTCGGCAGCTTGGGGCTAAAATGCCACATGCAAAGCATGACATCTTGTACAAGCTCGTGTTAGGTGCAGGGCTTCGGGATGGGAGAGGGTGTGTCAATGTTAACTCTCGGGCGGAGGATTGGAGGTTGCCAGACTTTGGCAAACGGATTGGATTTTGATTGTTGTAACTGTGGAGTTGGGATTTGTTTGCAGAGCCTTTGGTGCATGATCTTTGGTTTTGTTGTGGGTTTAGGTTTCATGTCTTGTGTGTCGTGGGCATACTTGGACATGCAAGCCCTGAAAGTTCGCAGCCGTAAGCATTGGAGTTGTAAACCCGAAGACTACCCGTTTGTCCTACAACCTCCTATGTAAACTCTACAGACCTCAACGAACTGCTCAAACTCTGAAAACCTACATCCGGAAAAGGCGAGTCTAATTGCGACGGCTTGAACCTTTGACATCTCAATCCTAAAACCTTGCCTCTGAAGCCTCAACACATCGGCTGCTCGTAAACTAGCACACCCCCAAAAGGTTGAACACCGGAATAAGGACAATCAGTACAGAGATTCCCTCTATGTTACTCTTCAGGATTGAGGCTATTGTGTTTCCAACTTTTGGGCTTCTCTTGTAAAGAAGGGAAGCTGTATGGCCTGCCGGTGTAGTTAGTTGAGACATGTTGAATCGCTTTCAAGTCTCTATGTACTAGATACTCTGCATCCTAAAGCTCAAGCTTAAGCGCAGTGACCCTAATCCCACATAGCTAAACAAAAGCTTGGATAAAGCTGTTTCATATCCTGCTGTCTCCCTAAACCGCAAACCCGAAATCTTACAAATCCCCAATGCAGACTCCCTTTCCCCCACTCTGCCCCCCTCAGGTGGTGCCAGCGCTGCCGGGGTGTGTCCATACGTTGGATGAAGCGATGGCCGATTCCGGGAAGGCTCTTTCGTAGAGGGTTTAGGGTTTCCAGTTTAGGCTTTAGTGTTTGGGGTTAGAGGAGGGTCATCTAGGTGCAGAAGTTCAGGGTTTTTGGTCCCAAAGGATGCTAGGTACTGTTATGGGGGATATTTCCCCAAATCATAATAGTCATCCTTAATATAGAAACTCCACAAGGTTTACCAATACAGCAGGCACATGCCTTGATTTGTATCTTCTTCAACCGAAGCCAATCCTACAATCGCCCAGATACACACAACAGTTTGCCAACCCTAAACCACCAAAGGGTCCTAAGTAGCAGCAGAATAAACCCAAAACCCCTAATCCCTAAGTATTCAGAACCAGGATAGCCGGGTACCACGAAAGCTCAAACGTCAAACCGTGAGGCTTTAAGAGTTTGCCTCTACGAATGCAGAGCGGTGGCTTCAGGACTTAAACTCACCAGCGCGTTATCGATTTGCCTGCCGAGCTGGGATTTGTCGTACAGGCCCGTGAGTTGATGGCTTAGGAATTGAGATCACAATCCCGGAACACAGTCTCTCAGGATGGGGAAGCTTCCGTGCCTAGCGTCACACAATTCTGAGCAGGACAGAGTACTCGAACTCGATAAAGACACCAGGCGACGACGACGACGACGACCACCCGTTACCCCTACCACTACCACTGCCGCCGCCCTTGTCTCTAGGTTGGTGATAGTCACAGTAACCTCTCTCAAATGTCCTCTTGCCTCTCGCGCGGGCAGCCGAACCCTTACAGCTCCGGAGAGCACGATCAGCATGTTTGGGCATTTGCTTTCGGGTTCGTCGAGTTACGCAGCCAATGACTGCGAATCCTGGTGTTCGGATTGGGTGTTGTTCCACGTTTCTGGTTAAACCCTCAGTCCCACTCCCCATGCACCTTCATGCAGCGCATCAAAACATCCCATCTCTCAACCCCCAAAGAGCAAGGCCCATGCTCTGAAGCCCTAAGCCGAAAGCAAGCACACCTTAGACCGGATCTTGTCCAATGAAGGTGGTTGAGCGCTCTTCTTCTTGCTGAGCTCTCCTTGCATGCGCCGCCCGACTGCAAGGGCTGTGCGATGTAGGTTGGATAGAGTCTACTTAGAAGCACAGGGACTTAGCAAGTAGGTTATAAGTAGAGTTATAAGTACCCTAGGTTGTAAGGTAGAGTTATAAGTACTCTGAATAGAGTTACCCCAACTATAACTCCACATATGACCAACCAAGTCCCTTGGGCCTCCAAGTAGCGTTCCACATGCACGGGGCCGTTGTGAGTGGTGGTCTAAAGCCGTTTTCAACGGTTTCAAGTAGCCGACTGTTCTACGGAGTTGTAGCAGGAAGTGCACAGTAAGGTGTCCTTATAAAACCGATCCTACTATTTGGGGTGCTATTTTGGGGTCCTCTATTTTCGGAAACTCCTACATGATGTCAGCCCCTCAAAATTGCAGGTGTCTTAGGTCTCACAAGAGCATGGAGTTCGACATCCCTTGCTTGGCCCTTTGTTTAATAGGAACCTAAACCCTAAACCCTTTGGGGACTTTGGGATAGCTGAGGGCCCGTGGGGTTTACGGTATTCCCCTCATTGCTGTTGTTTTGCTTGAGAATTCCTGGCCAGGCCATTTTCCTAAGCGGGTTACACGGGTGCTAAAAGGGTTCTATGGGGGGGAGTTCAAGGGTTTAGTTCTGGTCAGGGCTTCGGGTGTGGGTTGAGTGTTTTGATGAGGGGCTGCTTGCAGAATGTATCCAATCGAAACTCCAAGCCCTACGCCCTCAAATCTGAAACAATAGAAAGTAAGGCCCTAAACCTAGACAACGCATTAAAGCACGCTTGGATCAAGCAACAAATCACCACGGTCTGCTGTCGGGGTCGAGCACTAGCCCCCGAACGCTAAACCGGAAGCTCAGAAGAAGACCTATAGCCCCAAATCCGAAACCGATTCGTGAAAATCCAAGCCGGCTTAGGGTGTATAGGCTAAGCCCTAACGCAGTACTCCTAGGCCCTAAACCTCAAACCGCCGCTTCAAAGCAAACCCTCAAGAGAAGAAGTGTGCTCAGCCTCCTCAAAGTCGTACACTCCCCTAAACCCTAAACTGACCTGGAACCCCAGACGGATGGTAGCTGCCACATCCTGGTGTTCACTAGAAGGTGCTGTTTAGGATTTGGGATATACGCGGCTTATATCTAGGTTCCTTGGAGTTTGCCGGGCCTTGTCAAGGTTGTTGGATCGAGTTGCATGGGAGGCTTAAAACACCCTAACCCGTGGTCCCTTTTGCGTTCCGATTCTGGTGAGCTCCTAACACGCGCAGTCGCCGTGGCGTAGTTTAGAACCAGCTGTCTAGGATTCATAACCCGTTTGGGGTTTTAGGGTGTGGGGGCCTGGGTTCGAATGTACAGCCTACTTTAAGCAGCCAGAAGCTGCATGTTCGTAGGTCCTTGTTACAAGCCCTATATAATATGGAATCTATAGGGACCCTACAAAAAGTAGGTTTCGGTGTGTTAAAGTAGGGCTACTCAAGGCTTTGCTGTTCTTTGTACACAGTTTGCTGCTAGATGCCTGCGTTCAGTCTCGAGTTTCATTTTGTGCACCTCCCCTGGGTCCGCGAACTATGGCGTACTATACCGCGAGTAGCAGTACATTGGATTCCCTGAAAATCCCTGAACTTCCAGCCCTTAACTCCAACACTCTGCCTTTTAAACCCGAAGCTCGAAACCTCGGTTGTTGCAAAAACGGGGTCGGTATATAGGCTTACAGTTGAGTTTTCTTACAACCTATACCAGAATCCACTTTAGGAATGTAGGGTTTAGGACTCCTCGCCAGGAGAGCCGCGACGGCTTGGATCCGTAAGGAGGCTCGAAGCTGCTGACAGGAAGGGTCCGGGAGGTTTTTTTGAGGGGTTACGATGAGGGCTCCTGTAAGAGGGTCGTTAAGGTGGGGTTGTGGGGTTATGGGATACTAGGGTTGTAGGCTTTAGGGGTTTACGGCTTGGAGCTTAGGGGTTACGCAGGGTTTAAGTGTTTGGGTGCTTGACCCGCCCCGAAACCCTACATTTCCGACCATGGAACAGAGTGCAGACAAATGTAGCTGACGTGTTGAAGTTCCGCAAGGTTGCGCTTTGTAGGGTCTACCTAAACCATGAAAAATCCACCTGCTTAAGGACTTTATGATAAGGAGCCCGAAAAAGGCAGGCTTCATATGGTTCAGGCAGGGTTGAGGGGCAATCGACAATCCTTCCCTGTCTCTAGCCTTTGAGAGATTTTATATTTCCCCTTATTTGGCTCAAGAGGATCTTATTTACTAATACTTGTCAAAGGCTTTAAAAGCCCCACCTAGGTCTGTCCGGCCCACAGGCAGAGATTGCTGCCCACGGTCTGTCTCAGCTCAGAGATGCTGGTGCGGATGGACAGGCATGCGAGCTTCAAGCATTGCCCCTACAACCTAACCCGGAATAACCTACCTTTTTGGGGACTTATACAAGGAAATCATACTAGGGAACCCTAAAAAGGTAGGTTATTCCGGGTTAAGGTAAATCCGGGTGCCCCTAACATCCTGGCATGGGAAGATGGATTAGGGTTCCTCTAGGGACTGTAGTCTTCCTTGAAGGGTCTTTAGGGGCCCTTCATAACCACAATAGAGTTAGAGTTTTGGGGTTGTTTATAGTGCAGTATGGTTTAGGGATGTTTAGGGTTTAGGAAGGAAAACCAGGGGACCAGGAGCAATTACTGAGGCCCTTGCATTAAGGCATGGGCTTTCAATCCCATGGGTTGAGGAGAGCAGAACAGAAAGAGTTCCCGTCGTGCAGCCTCCCTCAGTTTTTCAATCACAAGGGCCTCTACTGTAGGGGCCTTAATAACTATATTCTTTGGATTGTTATAATGATCGTATCAGATTCCCCAAAACCCTATTCTAATTACTAAGGCCTCTACAATACTGGAAGAGCAGACACCTCCAACGCAACGAGATCAACGAAGCCTGGAATCTCTGTATGCGCTTGAAAGCGCACCGGCCTCGCACATCAATAACAACAGATGCAGGAGTCATTCACATTCACATTGTATTAGTGCAAAAGTTAGAGAATGTGTGTACATGTAAATACAGATATGTATTTATATCATGTATATATATATACATATACATAAATCGCTGTGTATATATGTACACATATATATATATATATACATATACATATACATATGTATTGTTTATATGCATATAGCGCGAGAGAGAGAGAGAGAGAGAGAGAGAGAGAGAGAGAGAGAGAGAGAGAGAGAGAGAGAGAGAGAGAGAGAGAGAGAGAGAGAGAGAGAGAGAGAGAGAGAGAGAGAGAGAGAGAGAGCGAGAGAGAGAGAGAGAGAGAGAGCGAGAGAGCGAGAGAGCGAGAGAGAGAGAGAGAGAGAGAGAGAGACTGAAAGAGCAAGCACCCAAGGGTGAAATTTGGCAATCGCCCCAGCCCCAGTTTTTGAAGCAGGAATGCCCAAAGCCCCAAGCTCCTAAACCCTAAACCCCCTAAACCGGCCCCTGAACCCCTAAGCCCAATAAATCCTCTACGTATCTGCAGGTGTTTAGCAAGCGGACAGCTGACTCCCGGCGTCTCGGCGTCGACTCCACGAGTTTGAAGGGCTGCTACAAGGGCTACCCTCAGGGTTCCCAGAAGGGTTCCTTTAAGGGTTTAGGGTTTCGGGGTTTAGGGTTTAGGGTTTCAGGGGTTTAGGGTTTAGGGTCAAGGGCTACCGTAAGGGTTCTCAGAAGGGTTCCCAGAAGGGTTCCTTCAAGGGCTCCTTTCAGTGGTATTGCGATGAGGCTTGCTATAAAAGGCTCTGCGAGGCAGGGTTAGGGCTGCTATAGGAGGTATGATGACAGGGAGCATGAGGCTATGGTTAGGGCTGCTATAAGAGGTACTATGACAGGGAGCACTACAGGGCTTACGGGGTTTAGGGCATGATGTGAGGGGTTTGGTGGGTTTGGGGTTCAAGGCCTTCGAGTTTAGGCTTTGGGTGTTGAGGGTTTGTGGCGCTTGTGATTTTTGATGTGCCTTTTTTGCGATTTGCTTCTATCCCCGAACCCTCAATGCTTGCGGCCCTAGTGGCATTGCGCGTTCATGTTGCAATTGACGGATTTATGCTTGCAGCTTGCACCAAGCTGTGGAAGGGTCGTTGAGGCACGAGTGTCTGCCACGGCCCGCCACGCTGCAAGTCCCGCGGTTGCCCCGTATCCCGAAGAAGAGCAACCCAAAGGGTCCTATGTACTGTTATGGCAGTTTAGGGTTTAGGGTTCAGGGTTTAGGGTTTGCAAACCACGCGGGGTGTTTTTGCTGAATACACCGGGTCCCGTGAGGCGATGCACTTCCAGCTCCGGGACGGGTCGGTGCACGAGTTCAGAATTGCAGCTCCAGTCAGACTGGACTTTGGAGTACCATACTTTAATACTTTTTGGGACCTGTTACTTAAAAGGGAACCAACTATGAAATGAAAGTGTGCACATTTTTCTCCCTGGTTACTTCAAAGCCCAGCAGATATCGCGGTGTAGGGTTTAGGGGAAGCTTTGCCTTGATTGAGTTCCGCTTAAGGGTGCAAGCTGCCACCCCGAAATTTAAGTTAAAAGTCTAAGACCTATAGATTAGTATTCCCTTTTTTGTAGTGTTCATGTTCCCTGATAAGCCCATTTAAACCATCAAGGGCATCCTAAACCCCTCAAGCCCTACCCTGCACGCCTCATGAGTCCCAGCTTGTGGCGAAGGTCGAGAGACATGCTCTCCCAACCGGATGATGCCGTTTGGAAGGTGCTGCATGCCGGGTCAGAGGACCGAGCTCCTTTCATGCTTCTGTGAGGGTTGCCATGGGGCCGGTTTAGGGTTTAGGGTTGCAATAAGAAACGGTTTTGAGTTAAAGTGTCGGCTTTCCGGGCTCTTGAGACCATCTACGAATATGCCTCACGTCTATACAGCCGAGAACCCTGAAATTCCGGACCCTGCAGCCCACCAGAGAAAACTAGAAAAGGGTCTTAGGGTATGTGCTAGTCTAAACATACTGCGGACTACAACGGTCTACAGTTACTGACTACCCAAAGGCCCCATAAATCCTAACAAGGAACTACTATGGGGCCTTAGGGTGGTCCCTTAGGGTAGTCCGACCCCGATATAACACACCTAAGCCTTGAACCCTGAACCCTACCCTAACCCACCAAAACCTGCTTTTTTGTATGGTCCCTATAAATCCCAGACCAAGGTTTATAATACGAGCCTACCAAAAAGCAGGTTACGGTAGTTTAAGGTGTACGGTTGAGGGTTGAGGGTTTAGGATATGGGATTCCCGGGAGTCAAATTTTAGGATGTTTTTGGATTCATGGTTTCGGGACTGAGCCTTCAACCCTAAAGCGGAGGACGGCAAAGACTTCGCCGAGGTTCTGAGGGAGGCCCAAAAGGCGGAGCCTACGACCACGACCCTGTGTCTAAACAGATGGTTTGAGCAGGTTTCAAGAGGTTTGGGTTTATAGGGTTTAGACTAGTTTTGGGTGTCTTTTGAATATGGTTTTAATTTTGATTAAGGTTTTGGGGTGTGCGGGGTTTGGGGTTTTACAGCTTGCGTTTCGACATCCAGCTTGTTTTTTTTGGTGAGTTGTTTTTGGAATCCCATGCTGTTTTAGTTGGAGTTTAGGGCGTAGGGTTATGTAGGAATTCTCTTTTGCATTCAGTGGCTTGGGCTTCCTTCTTAAGTGCTATCCCGCTTTTATAGAACCCTCATAGAAAGGCAATGGGGAAAGCCCCCAAAACAGGATCCATTTCTGGCGGCCACTACGCCCTAACCCATAACCCTTAAACTGCCTTACACCCTAAGAAATAAACCCCCCCAAACGCCTAAACCCTAAACCCCTAAACCCCAAACCCTAAACCCCAAACCCTGAACCCTAGCGCCCAAACCCCAAACCCTAACCCCTCAACCTCTTAACCCCAAACCCTGAACCCCAAACCCAAAAGCCCTAAGCTCAGGACCCCGGAGAGCCTGGAGAGCTTTCAGGATGCCATTCCGGCACCGTGCCTGGGGCGCACGTGGGAACATGTTTGGCGTGTGGACTCTATAGAGATCCAGGGCTAGGAATTTTTGGGGAATCTTTAGGACTTAGGTGTGAGGGTTTCGGGTTTAGGGCTTAGGGTGCAGGGTTTCGGGGAGTTTGGGCTTTTGAGGGTGCACTTCAGAGGGGTTTATGGGTTTGAGGCTTGAGGGTTTTGAAGACTGAGGGCTGGCGTTTGTGTTGGAAGGTTCTTGTAAGGAAACCTCAGGCCAAGCACGAGGTTGTTGCGTGGATGCAATGGTGAGCTTATCCATCAAGATCACGAACAGCTATGAGTTTCAACAATCTAAATCTTAAATGCGAGATGGAGATATGTGGAGGAATCCCCAATTCGGTTTTCATACAAAAAGGCAAACCCTCATCCCTAACCCCCTCTGAACCCTAAACCGCTAAACCCCTAACTCCTAAACCCCTTAACCCCTAGACGCCTAGACCCCTAAGCCCCAAACCCTAGACCCACGGACCCCTAAACCCTAAACCCCTAGACCCCTAAACCCCTAGACCCTAAACCTTTAAACCATTCTAAATCCCTTGAAAGAACTCCTACAGATCCCTTTACACCCTATAGATCCCTTTAAAGGAACCCCTATAGATCCCTTTAAAGGAACCCCTATAGATCCCTTTATAGGAACCCCTATATAGATCCCGTTAAAGGAACCCCTATAGATCCCTTTAAAGGAACCCCTGTAGATCCTTTTATAGGAACCCCTGTATAGATCCCGTTAAAGGAACCCTTAACCCTAACCCAGCCCAGGCTGCTCAACATGCGCTCCCCAAGCGCTCCGATGCGCATCCGCTCGCAAGCCTTCCACCCGACGAAGGGCGGCAATCTGAATCATTCCGGCGCCTTATCGGGTTTAAAAGAACCACCGGTTTAGGGTTTTAGGGGGTTGAGGGTTTAGGGGTTTGGGGGTTTAGGGTTAAGGGTTTAATTATGGTTTAGGGTTTAGGGGTTTACGGCCGAAGCAGGGTTTGAGGGTAACGTGAATCATTCCGGCGCCTCGTCTGTCGATCTTATAGAGGAGCTTCCAAAAATTGGGAGTACCTTATTTTGGGATCCTTATAAAAAGGATCCTACCATTCACGTTTCTATGATATATTAGGGTTCAATATTATCGGAAACTCCCATGTAGGAGCCTGACTGGCTCGCGATAAGTGTGCAAACTTATAGCACAGTGCACGATATTTAAGTAGGATCCCTAATATGACTTAGGGTAATTATAGAAATTATAGTCCTTAATCAAGGGATATTGGAGTCTCGGGGTTCACATGATCACATGGCGTCAGAAAGACTTCTTTGTTTGTCCAGCGTTTACGGCATCTGTGCAGAAGTTGTTGTAGATGTTTAAACATTTCCCCAGTCCCAAAGGGTCCTATGTACCGATATAGTAGAATGCAGGGCTTCCGTATTAGGAATTACCATTATGACTTAGGGAACATCATAGGGATCCTTAGGGGTGTAGGGGGACGGGGGGTAGGGGGCCTTAAGGCCCATAATAAGGACTAATAAGTCCTATTTAAGGAAATATAGTCCCCTACACCCCTAAGGATCCCTATGATAACAATACATAGGACCCTTTTGGAGTGATCAGGGTATTTCAAGCAAGGTTTCGGAGAGGTCCGGGACATGTTTTGTGTTCTTCGTTGTCATTACCCAAGAGGCCCCAAAGTAGTTCCTTTTTGGGATTACCTAATTAAATTCTATATACGAACCCCAAAAAGGAACTACTTTGGGGCCTTTGGGTATGGACTTCGTTTCTAAACCCCTAAGTCCTGAACCCTCTACATGTTTGAGCTAGAAGCTTCAGCATGGCTGCGGAGTTTTGTGGCAGAAGCTGCTTCACGCTAATATAGGGGCCTAAACAGTTAAGGTTTTTTTTGGCAATTATTGAGACCCTACACTAGGCATGTCCAAGGCTGGTCCGATCGCATGTCGCCACGGGAAAAGGCTCAGAAGCTATGTGTGTGTGTGTGTGTGTGTGTGAGTGGGTACGGTCGACGGCTTGCCTTCACCTTCAATGGCCCTTGTAGTTGTATCAGGTTCAGGCAGGTTTGGACAAACCATCCACCCGTGGCTTGACCCTTTCTGACCTCAGACCTTCGCCCTTAGTCCTGGCCGCTACTCGTCTCAGGATACTCCCCATATGTGGGCGCGCCCGACCTGTCTTTCCCATCATGGACCTTCGTTCATCCGCAGGCTGGGCATGTGGTTTCGGGCAGGGCTGCTAAGGCCTACTAGGAGGTCTCTGTGAAAATCCCTATAAAGGCAAGTATAGAGGTTAGACTTTTTTGCGTGTTACTTTTGTGGTCTGAAAGTCATGGGGTTTCTACTTATTTATGCGTGGGTGTGCAGCAGGATTTCGCCGTTTGCGGCTTCAGGTTCGGGGCTTGGGGATCTGGGGCTCTTGTAGGATTATACAGGGCTGCTCTACGGAATCAGGCACGCCACGACTGAGCTTCGTTCTGGAAGAACTCTACCATAGTACAGGTGCAGAAACTACGATTCTTCCCTCAGGCTACACCCTATCTTAATTAAACATCCGTAAACCTTGAGCAGCATTCCTTGCGGCCTGCAGGTTCCCTCGTATCGTTATGCTATAGTATACCCTTAAACTCTGTTCGAATGACTCAGGCGTCTACACTCCGTAAATCGCTTTATACACGGCTTGCAGGCGCTGTGTCGGCTTCCACCTCAAATTCCCTGAAGCTTGAGCCTAATATTGAAAACACAAGAATCTTGACCCTCGCATGATGGTTTTTTGCGAAACCACAAACCCTATAATGCCAACCACTCCAAGTTCCCACCGGCCTCAAATGTTTCCTCGACCTCAAGGAAACCTCACAACACCCTGACGGCAATTATTCCTCAGCCACAAAACCCTTATAAGGTTCCTAGGTTTAGAACCTTGAGCGCCAAACTTGGCCCTAAACCCTAAGCTCTGTACCCGATGCCCCACCCCCGAAACCCTAAGCCCTAAACCCCAAATCCAGAACCCCAGCGAGGTGCAACCAAAGGGCCTCCGCACAGCCACGAAGCGCGTCTTCCACGGATCCCCGCTGATCGATGCCGACTTGAACGTGCCATTTGGCTTCCTACCTTAACCCACCAAAACCCTCTTTTCTGTAGGTTCCCTATAAATCCCATATCAGGGTTTATAATAAGAACCTACAAAAAAAGTAGGTTATGGTAGTTTAAGATGGTTTAGGGTGTATAGGTTTAAGGTTTAGGGTTTAGGGGGCTGCCTACTATGCACCGAGTAACTTATGTCCATTTAAGGGGACATACCCTATAAGTTCTATAGGGTCGTGCTCGATCATGGTGTAGGGGTCTGGGGCTATAGGTAGGATTTAGATGGATGTATGGTTCGAGGTAGTCGGGTGCGTCTATAGCTGAAACCATGCAAGGGTCAAGGCTAAAGCCCAAATCTTGCAGGCATTAGAACTCAGGGTTCGAGGCCGGAGTGCTGTTCGGAATAGAGTTCCTGTGGAACAAAGCTGGACACGCTAGACCCTAAACCCAGAACAGATCCTCTCAACTTCATCTGCAGAGTTCACGGGGCTTAGCTTCGTGCTTTAGGGGCGACGGACGTGGTCGCGAGTCGTGAGTTGATGATCCCAGGTACATTCAAAGCACCTCGGGCTGGATCTTCTCCTTCACAAAGGAGCGCTCGGAAGTACTTTAGCCCTAGACATTGCGGCATGCATATCTGTCTTCCGGCTTCAGCGCTGTGAAAGAGTTTCGGAGTTGGGGTTGCTTAGGGTTTCCCTTACAAAACAATAGTTCCGCATCAGAACCAAGATCGCGAGTCGTTGGAGCAGCAAACCAACTCAACCCCCAACACCCCCAGACAAAATTAACCCTGCAACCTACAACCCTAAACCGAAACCCTTACAACTTGTACGTGCAAGCTCTTCCCTTGCAGCTCAAAGCCCTTAGCACCTGTAAGCCCTCTCAATGCCCTGATGTCTAAATGCCCGAAGGCCGGCAAGCACCCTCAGCAGCCTCTGATCCAGACACTCAAAGACTCGGGATTGAACCCTTTCACGTATAGAACCCCAAAGCCAAACTCAAAAGATTTGGACCTGGAGACTTAACCCTACACCCGAAACCCTAAACCCGAAGCCCGAAAAATGCACAATTGCCTCAAAGCCTAAAGCCCTAAACCCTAAAACCCCAAACCCTAAAACCCTAAGGCCCTAAACCCCTGAATCCTAAAACCGTACAACCCTAGAGCCCTAAACCCCCAAACCCTAAAACCGAAAACCCTAAAACCCTAAACCCCCAAACCCTAAACCCTAAACTGCCGTGGTAGGACGGGGAGCTGCGGTGGTCTTTTGACTTGAACTCCGAGGATCCTCAGAACCCAGGCGTCTCCGATCCATTCAGGTCCGTTTAAGGTAAATTCAGGGGGAAAGGGTTTTTTGGGGGTTTTAGGGTTTAGGGTTTAAAGGTTAAGGTTCAGGGTTTAAGTATCAGTGTTCTAGGGCCTAGCATTTAGGGCTCAGGGTTGATCTGCAGGTTGCTAAGAGGGGCATCGTAGGGTTCAAAGGCGTGTGTTCTAGGTTTTGCAGGGTTCCACAAGGATTTCCACACACTACACACAGCACTATGATTATAAGCATTTCTGCAAGGTTTCCATAGAGGCTCTATGTGCATCACTACAAGGGTCCTTTAGGGTTAAGGTTTGCCATAAGAGGGATGCCCGAGAAGGGCTCTCTCGAAGCCCACTGGTCTTAAATCCCCAAGACCCTATACCTATTGAATAAATAATAAAGCCGCAAGCCTTGATTGAAACCTAAAACTCGAAATTCCAAAACCTTACGTTAGAGGGTAAAACTGAGGTGCTCAGGTCTCAATACTGACTAGTCGCTTGGATCAATCGGGTCTCCCAAAAAAGTCGTAAATCTTGAAGAGCTCAAGCCCTGCACCTCCTCAGAGTTTGAGTCTAAGCGGTCCTGCTTCAAGGCAACATGGCGCTCCTGGATGGCACGGCCTTCGTGTGTGCCACGGCAGAGTTGTGAGGTGTACAGGGTTGAGGGCGTTGAATAGAATCGTCTTTGAGATTGGTTGGAAGGGGATAGAGTTCTCGGGAGTTTGAGTCAATTGTTCCCACCGCAGTTCAACCTTACATGTCCTCAGCTGAAAAACTCTTCAAACCCAAGGCCCAAAGCTCGAATTCTTGTCCTGAAGCAGCTGCGGGTTCAGATGCGCCTGGTGGAAGGCCCAAGCACCCTTTCACTACCCATAGGCTCCATAGTGGTTCCTTTTGGGGTTATTTTTAGAATTCTAAATATTGACCACAAAACGGAACTAGTATGGAGCCTCTAGGCAAGTTTTGAAGGTGGGCGGGATGTAGAGTTTGGCAACAATCATGGTCGAGGCTCCTGCACTCAGACAGCAAAACCCTCTATACCCCTTGCACCAGAACGCGGCAACAGTAGCGTAGTTTATAGAATCTCTATAACACTTCCTAGAGTTCGATAAGCTGTACTCCCAAACTCGGCAGCAAGAAAGTCAACCCTTACTAACCCTAAACCCTAAACCCTAAACCCCAAACCCTAAACCCTAAACCCTAAACTCCGCCGAGGTACCGAAGATGGCATGGCCTGGGCTATCGACCTCGTAGAGGGAGCTGAAAGGCGCGGAACTTTTGGGGGATTTTGCGGTTTGTTTTTTTTTTTGTGGGTTTAGGGCTTTAGGGTTTAGGGTTTTAGGGTTTAGGGTTTAGGGTTTAGGGTTCGACGGGTTTAGGCTTGCTTTTGCTTTTGGTTTAGGGCCTTAGAATCCGAATCAGTGGGCGGGGCGGTTGCATGGGGCGTGGACGAGGACGAGGAACAGCAGCTGGCAGCAGGAGCAGGAAGGACGTGAGCGACGAAGTCGACCGCCACAGCAGACCAAGCACACGGTTTTTTAGCAACATACCTCAGGCCCCAAGCCTTGAGGGCTAAGAAGAACCAAGAACATTATCTTTCTGGGTTATTTACCATTTCCCGAAGCTTCTATACGGAATGAGGTCTGCCCACGGGAAGCATCGATATCCGAGGGCTGTGCATCTAATCCGTCCATGCACAGGGCGATGTGCTACACTTCTGTCACGCACCCTAGAAACCCTAAACCTCTAAGCCCAAAACACTAAGTGTTAAGCCTCTATAATATAAGGGGACTGCGCTTTGAGGTTATAGGGACTGCACTGTGAGGTTGCAGGATTTGAGTCTTGGGGTTACTTTCATGCTGAGAGCAAACAGAAACTTCAGCAGCTAGCGCATGCATAGGAACCTACAACACCAGAGTCATAACGGAGTATCTCACTTGTATTGATGGCTAGTTTAACACGGTACCTGGTGATCCCAACAGATCTCTTATGGTAAATCTTTCTGCAAGCCCTAGAAGCTTCTTCCACGAATTCCCCCAACCTGACACAGACAAAGCCCCTAAACCCTAAAACCCTAAACTCTAAACCCCGCAAAACCCCCAAACCCTAAACCCTAAACCCCATAACCCTAAATCCTAAACCACGCCGGTTCCAGGTGGAGACAGAAGATTGCTACCCACTGCTCTACCGATGCGCTCCTGGGCGCTTTCTGTGCTCGTTGGGTTTGGGCATGGGTGCAGGATTTGGTATTTACTGGACCCTACAAAATTATTTGCTTTATAGGACCAGTGCCAATCAGAGGCTAAAACAATGTGAATTTCTGCAACGTTCAAGTAGGCTTTCCGACCACAGTGGTTCCCCAAGCAGCGGCACGGCGAACTACTTAAACAGCATGGCCTTGCTTTCTATCCAGGCATCGCCAACTCAAGAAATACTGCTCGATTGCTCAGCTTGTGTCATGGTCACTAGCAGGACCCTCCTTGTACCCTCAAATAGGGGTATATGGTCCCAAATAAGGGGCACTTAGGATCTAGGTGATATTCGTCTGGCCTCTCCGAATCCCAGCCGAGGTTTTCCGTGGTTGCACAAAGAGGAGCCTTGGACGAGAGTGCAGGGGTTCAATTTCGGATTTCCGTTTTTGGGGAGGTATCCAATAAAGAGATGGGAAAACTAGTCAACATATCCCCTAGGTAGCCACTTCGCAAGTTTAGCAATGTAATTAAGTTAGTATACCCTCACACCTGTTGAACCCCGTGGAGGCCTCCTTCTCTGCATAATGAAGGCCCCTGCATAACTCCGGCACGATGAGTTTGGCATGCGAGCACACGGGGGGAGGAGGATGGGGCTTGGGTTTCGGGTTGACGGTTTGGGGGGCTTAGGGTTAAAGTAGCAACCTCATTAAGAAACCCTGGTCCTAAAACACCCAAAATACTAGGATTCGTAGAAGGAACCCTAATGGCCACAATAAAGACCCAGGGTTTCTTAATCTGTTTCCTATATTAGCAGGCTGAGGCTGTTGTATGAGCTCACAAGTTCAAGAGGTATTTTCAGGACCCCCGAATGGCCCTTTAATAGCCTCCTTAGGTCCTTATGGTCCTTAATAGTGGGTACTTAGGGTTTTTTTGGAGTGTAGTTGGGGGGTCTAAGCTGGCTCTCAAGGGTTCCATAGACCTTGTTTCTGATTCTTCATTCGGCATCTATACAGAAAGCTCTGTAAGGGGGTCGTACAGGGATGTTATACCTGTTTCATATTGGGTTTATTTTGGGTACTGCACCCACTCAGTAACAGTTGGAGAACATTCATATTATAGATATATTAGGACCTTAACAGTAGCCCCATTATAGACTGTTTCTGTATGCGGGCAGTACCCAAGATTTATTGAAATCGCTGTCAGAGGTGACTTCAAGTCGAAATCTGTCAGACTGGGATAAATCATGAACCCGAAGCTCTAATGTGGGCGGGGAATAACGCTTAAAGAAGGCCGTTGGGAGCATGATGCAATGTAACTCTGTGCGAACTGTATGGGGACATGGCTACTAAGAGTTCAGTGAGTCTTTGCTGTAAGCACTGAACTCTGAACCTCAGCATAACAGCAACAGAGTAGATGCTTGCCAAGCCCTTCCTGACCCATGGAGTCGTGTAGGATTTGAAGATGGCCCCTGAGCCCTTTGCAGCCGCACGCATTTAATCCTCGAGGAAGCATTCTCATCCCGTGCAATCCGGCCAATGGCGACGAGCCAGACAACATGGTTCCGTCCTCGTGTTCAGTCCTCCAGGGCTTTCAGCGGGTTTCTCAGTGTATCAGTTGCAGGCTGCACCCTAAACCCTATACCCCTAAACCCTGCACGCGCACGTAGAAGCAAGAGTTTGGCAGGCTGTAGGCAGAAGGCTTCACGTCGTTCAGGGTTTCGGGGGGGTGATGTCTGGTTACAGTTTACGGTCTCTGCGGTTTAAGGCTGCATGTTTAGAGCGCGCGCAGGTTCTATTTTAGTGTTTGTTTTTTTTTGTTCTCTCGGTTTGGGGTTTGGTCTCGTCTAGAACCCTAAACCCTAAACCCTAACCCTTACCCTAAACCTTAAACCCTTACCCTAAACTAAACCCTAAACCCTAAACCCTTACCCGGATCCCTAAACTTGTGATGAGTGTAGCACGACTGCAGGCAGCTGGAACATGGCCTTTGATGCAAACGTTCTTTGTAACCTAAGCCCCCAAAGTAGTTCCTTTTGGGGTTCATGAATCCTATAAGGTAATCCCCAAAAGGAACTACTATGGGGCCTTAGGGTAACCCTGTCAATAGAGGGGCGCCGGATGTTGCTTCGTAAGCTTCAGCATGTGTTTGCCTTCAAAGTCTGCGTTCAGGACGGTATAGGCGTCCATGCGTTCGAGGACCCACGCTGTTCCAACTTATGTAAGACTTCTGTGGTGATTCATGCCCAGGACGGCAGCCACGGCCTCTGTTCCGTTTCCGAGAAGGACGGCGCGCCGAGGCGACATTTGAGAGTGACTCATGGATGTGCTGTTGGAACTATGGTGTCGGCGGGTCTTTGTATCATAAGGCGGGCCTTACATTTGCGATCCCCGAAAAGCGATCCTGATTTACAGAAGCGTATGTGAGCTCACATACAGGTATTTCGTACATACTCATATACAACCAGGACTTGACATTATGCATACGGCATGCATGTGAAAAGTGTAGGTGAGCCGATGGAGCTTATGAGCACCGATTTTTTTGCACATGGGGGTAAATACGCTCGAAGATGCGGACACGTACATGCACAGATACATACACACATACATACACGCACAGATTTGTATAACAGCTGCCTTCTTGGCTTCCTGCTTACCATGGAGTCTAAACTACCCAAACTTTAAACCCAGTCTCTCTGCCCACAACTGTCGCTATGCTCGACTGCAAGATACCCAGGAGCCGGGAACCGAGAGCTGGACCACCCTACACCCTAACCTAAGCTCTAAACCGAAACGAAACGGACGCAGTCGAGCAACCACAAACCCTAAACCCTAAAACCCCAGACTGCAGAAGGTCCCTCAAGATCGAATGTAGATCCCAAAGGGTCCTATGTACCGATATAGTAGAATGTAGGGATTCCAAATTATGAAACTTATTGTGACCTAGGGAAGTATCCCTCAAAGCAGTACATAGGACCCTTTGGGGATTTGATTCTTGAGACTGTTGGCCGATAAACGCCGGTAGGAGCTCGTAGTAGGGCCCCATAGATGCCCGTGAACCGGATAGAACTGACAGAGCACTGGAGAAACCACAAAAAAAGGCTGTGTAAGGATAGAACGGACAGAAGGTGCAGAAACCTACAGAGAAGGTATGAAACATCAGCTAAGGGGGTTTATAGGGTTTAATTCTTTGGCTCAAGCGTCCATAGACTTAATCTACGGTGCCTGTCCGAAAGTCTTTTCAGGTGCAGGGGACGGTTTTCGGCACGACTGGATTTACGGATAATGATTTGCAGATGTTGAGTTTTCGGTCTTCGGGCTCGGGGATTTGTGGTTCAGGCTTTCTTTAGCATCTTATGTAACGAGGGTTGGATTTTTGCATGCCGACGTGGCTATATGGTTTAGGGATGCTGCATGCGATACGGAAACACGGACATCTCAACACGTGTTGATTGAACACTGTATGCTACATCATATGAAGGATCCTTCAGTTCCCATTCAGTTTTTGGGCTCGCTATCCTCACCCAGTGAAGCTGAACAGGTGGACTTTCAACCTGAATCGCTACGGCAGCAAGGGCTACAACTTGGCTGGGGCCTCAGTTTCGGAGATCCACAGTGCGAGGCAGAACAGGCCGAGCTTCGGGCGGTGAAGGGATTACGGGTTAGGGACTCAGGGTTTAGGGTTTATAACTGGGCTTTGAAGTATCATGCTTTAACACTTTTTTTCTCAAAGGAACCCTTATGAAATACAAGTTTATACTTTTTTCTCCCTGGTTACTTAAAAGCCCAGATAGTAGGGCTTCAGGTTTAGGGTTTAGGGCTTAGTGTCCAAGCAAACCTGATGTCCAGGTACACCCATCAAACACCTTTGGCTGGGCCTGGCATAGGATATGCACCCACTGTTTGTACGGGTTTAGGATAGAGGACTTCGGTTTTAGAAGCTGCGACCTCTCTGGACACCTTCCCAACAAGCACCCTTTCAGCAAGCGAAAGCAAACAACAGAGACCTTAAACAACTCGAAAAAATCCTAAGCCTTAAACCTTAAACCCCTAAGCCCTAAACCCTAGAAGCCCTGAGCCAATGAGGCCCCGAGCGTCGTCGACGGTGTCGTGTACTTCACAGATCTCTCGGGCGCAGTGCATCTCGGATCGGTCAAGAGAATTGCGCCGGGGTCTTCGGGGCTTAGCGTTTGGAGCTTTAGGGTTTAGACCCTCAAGCTTAAGCCAGAAAGCACTGCACCCTAAGATTGTAGAGATCTAGGTTTTAAGCTGAGGGTTTGGGTTTTCAGGTTTCCGGTTTCAGGATGGATCGAGGGTCTGGGAATTTAGGGCTGCGCCTTTCATACTTCGAGTCAGGGTTAGTTCCATATTAAGGATAAGGATTGATGATTGGGGCGTAGGGTTTCAGCATGTCAGGCGTCCTGTTTGGATTTTGGCACTTTCTTGCTTCCGGTTTGGGCTCCGTTTTAACTAGAAGCATTAGCTGTGTTTAGGGGTCAGGGACTGTGAGTCGAGGGTTAGGATGGGGTTTAGGGTTTAGGGTTAAGATTAAAGCTCGGAGTTGGAAGTGTAGGCTGAAGTTTAGAGTGTAGGGTTCAAAGCTTGAGGTCAGGACTGGCTCAGGGTGTATACCGGTTTCAACGGTTACTACGCGGAAAGGCCCCGAACCCGAACAGCTGCTCACAAAATGTCAAAACGTCAATCAGGCCCTGTGCCGCAGACCATCCCACGTCCCTCTTTGGTGTCCCATGCCATAGACTAACTAAAAGGTTACTTTAAGGTTATAAAGTTATAATGTAGAGGCCTAAATAAATACCAATACTGCTGTGGGGATTTAGAAGTATAGTATAATATACTAATACCCCAAAACCCTGCGTTCAAACCCGATTTAAATTATTCAGGACCCTGTACTAGGAGACTATCCCTTTTTTGGTGTAGGAACTCACTTGGAGGCCCAAGGGGCTTAGCAAGTCGGTTATCCGTAGGGATATTTTGGGGTAACTCCATTTGGGAATTTCCGAAAATTAGGGCCCCAAACTCCCATTTAGGGGACCTATAGCTCTACTTATAACTTATAACCTAAATTACTAAGTCCTTTGGGCCTCTAATCAAGATCCCAGGTATGCCATCTCCGAGGAGGACCGCCTGTGCCTTTCTTGGGCCGGAAGCGCTCGGGGCCTTAATAAGTAGATTAGAGTTCCTTTAAAGGGGTCTACAAGGGCTACTACAAGGGCTATTATAAGGATTTAGTATAGGGATAGAGGCTGAGAGGATTCCTTAAGACCTTTTTCGGCAGTTTCCGAAAATTAGGGGTACCTGATTTTGGGGTCCTTATCATAAGGATCCCAATATTTAGGGTGCTATATTAGGGTCCCCTATTTTCGGAAACTCCCATCTCGTTCAGGGTTGAGGGTTTAGAGGGGATCTAGCACCATAGGCTATAGGGGGTTTAGGGTTTAGGGTTTAGGGTTTAGGGTTTTGGGATCAGTGGCTAGTACAAGGTTCACCATAAGGTTAGTGCACGGGTTACGAAAAGGTGAGTGAAATGGCTACGATAAGGTTGCTTCAGGCTAACTGCTCTATCTAAACCCTTAACCCTAAACCCCTAAACCCCCGAACAAGGAGTTCAACAAAAAACCTAAACCCTGAACCCAACACCCGTAAACTCTGCGCTGCTTTCATGGCCTCGTAAGGCTTCAGAGTGCTGGAAGGGCGTGGGAGTTGAACTGCAGGGAGCTTAAATGCTTAAAGCTTCGGGTCTTGCTCGGTTTAGGAGTTTAGGGGTTTAAAGGTTTATAGTTCAGGGGTTTAGGGTTCAGTTTTTAGGCTTCCGGGGTTTACGCTTTAGGCTTCTCAGGAGTTGCTTTGGACCCCTATATGTTATAATAGATGCCTAAACATGCCCCAAAGCCCTTGCTAATCAACGGTCCGATCGTGGTAACTCCTTTGTATTTCGGGTTTCAGGTTACCGGTCAAGCCTGCCCTGATTACTTCAGCATCTGAATCCTGATTTCTAGTTTGAGAAGCACAAAACTGAAAGATTTATACCTAAAGCCCTTCACCGCAAATCTGCATTAACCCGCAACCCCAAACCTGGTCCACATGCCTGTACTGTGGCCAGCGAGGACGGGCAGGAAGCAGGGGCCCCAAGAAGCGGGTTAGGGTTTGATATAGGAACCTGATTTAAGGATCTTTGGGTCTTTATTGGGTGTATATGAATCCTTATATGTTGGGATTTAACATGAATCTTTATATCTTGGGCTTATATGAATCCTAAGATATTGGGATTATAGGGCCAGGGTTTCTTAATCAGGTTCCTACATTATGGTTTAGGCTTGTGGCCCATCAGTTCGAACAGCATGGGTTCCTGAAGCTGCCACCTTATATAGGTCCACGGTTCAGGGTTCAGACGTGTAGGGTCAAGGGCTTAGGTTGTAGAGCTTGAGCTTTCCAGGGATTCTTGCTGCGGATTGTCTGGCAGTGCTTCCTTGTGATCTAGGTAGGGCTTTGGGACATTTTATATTTTCACCTATTGGGTTTAAGAGGATCTTATTTACTAACATTTTTCAAAGGCTTCAAAAGCCCCACCTAGTGATAATTTCTGTTTGCAGCTATTCCAGTTGCTCCTTTGCCACGACAGCCCAAGTCCTACGCCCCTCCACCCTCAACCCGCAGCCCCTTGCCCACTCCCACCTTGCAAGCCCCAAAAATTCCTATGTACCGATATAGTAGAATGTAGGGCTTCGATATTAGGAGTTACTATTATGACTTAGGGAAGTATCCCCCATAACAGCACATAGGACCCTTTGGGAAGAACTTGCAGGTACCAACGGGCCAACCTCGGCCCACTCGGGCTGGCCTGTTTTGATTCCGCAGCGGTTTAGGTTTAGGGTTTAGGTTTAGGGTTTAGGGTTTAGATGACCCGATGCCCTAAAGCCATGAAGCCATGCCCGCAGCATTCTTCTACATTGCTCCAAAGCGTTGATACCTCAATCGTCTATGGTCCATACACCGAAACGCCGGAAAATCCTGAACTCCACACTTTCGCCAACCACAACACCCTCGACTCCAAAAACCCAACCTCAACTCCGCTAAACGGTATATACCGCGACCGAGAGGCACTTATGAAGGATTTCCTTCCGCTTCTATCCTACGCAAGGCAAACCCCGAAGCCTTAAACCGTTACCCTAAGGCTCGAAATAGACCAAAAGCTTTAAATAGTATGGTCTTTGGGCCCAAAAGCCTTAAAACTAGAGTCCTTAGAGCCTAAGGGTTTCCTACCCTGCCACCAAAACTAGGATGCCCAGTAACCTAGGAATAAAAAGAGATCTTTTTTGGTATTGGGAGAAGCCCCTTTAAACCAAAAAGGGCACCCTTTTTGTTCCTAGGTTATTCTTGGGTCTAGGCACTGTAAACCCCAGCAGTACTAGGGATCTTTAGGGCTCCTTTAAGGGACCTTTAGGTTTCCTTTGTAAGGGATGGGCTGCAAGGGGTGTCGAGGTCTGGCGCCATCCCGGCAGTGAGGACGCCACCTTCTCCACAGCGACCTCTGCAGCAGTGGCCACAGCAGTCGAAAAGGGCTCAAGGGGTTTAGGGTTTAGGGTATAGGGTTTAGGGTTTGGGGTTTGGGGGTTTGGTTTAGGGTTTAGGGTTTATATTATATCCCATAAGGGTAGTTCTCAAAATGAGTATCCCTCTCTAGGCCCCCAGAATAGTACGGCACCCATGTAACCAGGACCCTACAAAGGGACCCTCATTGCCAGAACTACCCACATAAACCCTTTGTAGTTCAGCCCCTTAACGTAAGGACGTGCTTACAATGAAAGACATATGCGCATGTTTCTGTGGGGCTCGCCGTTGAGGATGTAGGGTTGAAGGTTGGTTGATGCTGATTGAAAGGCGTTTGGGTTCGGATTTCAGGGTTTTGGAGTTTGCCGGTCCAGATGTATGCTTTTTGGCCCCGGGTTCGACATGTCGGGCTAAGTCACACTCTACCCTAAACCCTAAAGAACCCTTGTATATACCCGTAGTGGAACCCTACCCTTACATAATACGGCTTAAATCTAGGCCCTAAACCTTGAAGGCCCTAAAGTTCTGAAAGCGCCACGAGGTCTTGACCCAAAGTTTATGGGCTAAAATCACTCCCTAAACCTACCTTAACCTACCAAAACCTACTTGTTCGTAGGGTCCCTATAATTTCCATATTAAGGTCTATATTAAGAACCTACAAAGATGTAAAGTTTGGTAGGTTAGTTAAGGTACACCCACGAAACAACATCAATCCTTGTGGCCCTCAAGCAAGCCCAAACCCCAAACCCCTAAACCTTTCAAGGCCTACAGCCTAAAGAGCTAAACCCAATGCCCGATGACCCTTGAACCTCAAGGGCCTAAACCCCTAAGCCCCTTAAGCCTTAAGGCACGTAGAGAGCCGTGAGGTCGGCCCTGACAGCCGCCTCTACAACGCTTTCAACGTCCGGAAGGGCTCGGAGACCGAAGGCCCCGGGGGGCTTAGGGTTCCTTTAAAGGGATCTATAGGGGTTCCTTTAAAAGGGATCTATAGGGGTTCCTTTAAAACGGATCCATAAGGGTTCCTTTAAAGGGATCTATAGGGGTTCCGTTTTAGGGTTTAGGGTTCCTTTAAAGGGATCTATAAGGGTTCCTTTAAAAGGGATCTATAATATGGGTTTGGGGGTTTTAGGGTTTTAGGGCTTTAGGGGTTTTAGGGGTTTTAGGGTTTTAGGGCTTTAGGGGTTTTAGGGTTAGGGTTTAGGGTTTAGGGTTTAGGGTTTGGGGTTTGGGGTTTGGGGTTTTAGGCTTAGGCTTAGGGTTTTGGGGTTTAGCTTTAGGGTTAGGGTTTAGGGCTTAGGGTTTAAGGTCTAGGGCCTAGGGTATGGGGCTTAGGGTCTTAGGGTTTAGGGTTTTAGGGTTTTAGGGTTTAAGGCTTAGGGTTTAGGGTTTCATGGCTTAGGGCCTAGGGTTTAAGGTTTAGAGCCTAGGGTATGGGGTTTAGGATGTTTTAGGGTTTAAATCAAGGCTAAGGGTATGGGGTTTAGGATGTTTCAGGGTTTAGGGCTCGGCTTTGGGGAGAAGTTCTCGATGTTAGGGCTTTTGTGCTTTTGTAGGGGTTGAGGTTTTCGTGTCTTGGTGTTGGGGAGGGTTTCGGTTTTTGGGTTTTAGGAATTTTAGGGTTTCGGGCTCTTCATTTACCAACTCTTGGTACATCTGAAGCGTGTGTTTAGCATGATGGTGGTCCTTGCTAGATTCTGCTAGATGTTCATTATCATCTTCACTTGGCTGTATGTGCTCACTAAAGTATGTTACGGTCATTTTAAGTTACGAGTGACTGTCAGGGCTGGTCATGCATCTATGATGTTCTCACCATGCTCTCGGCATCGTCGTGGGTAGCCTGCATTGTGTGTGTGGAGGACCCGATAGGAGTCTCAGGATCTGCACCGACAGGACGTCCTTTCCGTATTTTTCCGTACAGGTTTGTTGTATTGCGGGGCGTTAGACACCAAGCCTTGAGCTCCAGTCACCAGTCGAACATGTGTGGCAGTTTTTGCGGCACCGCGCATGTGCCTGTGAACCATCAATGATCGCCTTTGCCGTACGTCTTGAAGCCGAAGGCATGGGAAGCCCATTAATTAGGGACCCAAAAAGCACATAAGCATAAGCATTTTATAGGATATCCCTACCGTATTGGGCTTCATTATAAGGGGGTGTATATGGGATATCCCTATCAATTTGTTTACTTATACGCTTTTGGGGGGCCCTAATTAAAAAGCCGAAAGCCTTGACAGCCACCGCCAGACCCTCAGTCGTTCGCAACACGTTCCAACCCCTTCAGGTTCATCGCCCACAGCATAGTACCCCTCGTCTGTCTATTTATGTGTGCAATGTACATATTAAAAACATATGTATATACATATATGTAAATATGACTCTCAACCCTGCATGCATGACACCCTCCCGGCCGGAAATGTGGCAAGGCGTGCTTCGCAGCCACGACCTGAAATTCGGAGACATCGTTTGGGCAAAGTCCTTTTCAGAAGGTGCGGCGGCCCCAAAGATTTGACCAGCAAATCCCTCAACCCCTGAAGATGTGGGCCTTAAGCCCTAGTTCTCATTTCAAAAATGTGGCACTTGGGTCCAGACCTCAAGCCTTAAATTGCGTGCTCCTGAGGACTGATGTTCGGTTCTTGTTACGCGATCAGCCCAAGGGTATGTTCATGATTTATTAAGGTATATTCTGTAGCTAATGGATTTTGCAAGGTTTGGGCTACCCATAGGCTTCCTTTTTGGGATCACCTTATAGGAATCTAAATATGATCCTCAAAAAGGAACTACTATGGAGCCTCTAGGTAGTTGCATCCTGGAGTTTTTTTGTTCCAAGATGGTGAGCGCGCAGGCCCTCTCCAGTCGTGACTTCCTGGTCCTAATCGCGTGTATAGTCGTTTAGGGTTGCCCTAAACCCTAAACCCTAATGTAGAGTTTAGGGTTTGGGCTTTCACTGTTTGGGGATCTTTGATGACACAATGTTTGGGTTCAGGGGTTTGGGGCTTGCTCCTACTATTGGAGTGATCACTAGAGCTTACGTACGGTGCTCGATTTCTTCCGAGGCGCATGTCTAGTAGATGGAGGTATACATGCATCACGCCTCTGTCATCGTTGAGAAATCCCAGACATTCCAAAATCCCTTCATTAAGGAAGTCTCGAAATTCCATCAAAGATACAAGGGATCCTGGTTTGATGTAAGGGATAATGCTTGATTAAGGGATTTTGGAAGGTCTGGGAGATTATAGCAGGAATTGCACCCGAAAGCGCAAAGCCAATGATAACCGCATGAATGAGCAGAACAGGCCCACTCCTGTGACCCTCACTTGGAGGGTCGGGGGACTTAGTAAGTGGGTAGTAAGTAGACTTATAAGTACCCCAAAAGGGACCCTAATTGGGGTTAGGGTACTTATAAGTCCCTAAAATAACCAGTTACTAAGTCCCCCGACCCTCCAAGCAACAAACAGGGAACCCTAGACTCCGCAAGGCTGAAAATCTGAAACACCATTAGAGGGCTTAGGGCCATGTAAGGCTTCGGCTTTCGACTTTATTTTAAACATTTCGGGATCAGGAGTCTCTAAACCATAGAACCCTAAACCCAGAGGAGTTTAGTAAGGGCCCTCAAGCCTTGCACTGGCCAGGTATTAACGCAGCTCCTGCTGTGGGGCCCATGGGCCCCCAGAATCGCACCACCGTCATCGTTGGTGTCGGCAACAACCCGCACCCTGGATGAGATACGTGGATCTGGTGTGCAGGGTTTTCGACTTTTCTTGGGGCGGGCTTTCTATCGTTCGCCGTAAATTTGTTTCGTTCAGTGTTGCCGAATGAAATAGTAGTACCGCTGTCCAGTGCATTTTGCTTTGGTCGGTTGCTCCAAAGCACATGGGCGTCTTTGCACGAGTTTCTTCGCTGTTTCTGGCAAGGGTTTGGTTTAAGGGACTTAGAGGTTTAGGGGCTAGGGCGGCTCGGGGTTTAGGGCTTCGCATTCCTTCTTCTGGGATGCCGGGGGGGGGGGGGGGGGGGTTCGGTCCTTGGCAGCGCATCCCTGAAACCTAAACTTGAAAGCCATGGTTGAGCTAAGACTTAGGGCTTGGAGCTTGGGGCCAAAACCGTGACGTGTAAGTGTAAGCCTTGAAACTTCGAGCTGTCATCGCCGAAACCTATGTTAGTGTTAGCTTCGATTATCAAGCCTAAACACCCAGTAGAGAAACTCAGAGAAACCCGGACGCCCCGAAGCGGCGAGACCTCTGACATCCTTCCGCCCCCCACAAAGTTTGACATGAAATTTAGACTTGGTCTCAAAAGTTGCGGATCGGGGATTCCAACGTTTTAAAGAATACTTCTCTTAGCACATCGCTAGTTCGAGGTTTGGGATTCCGTGCTTGTTGCTTCAACACTAGTGCAATACAGATACTAGTGGTGCTACTGAAATAACCATCACAACCATGAGGTTGAGGTCTACAGACACGGACCTATAGGAGAGCCCTATGATGCCCTGAAACACCGAAAAAGCACGTACAACCTATAAGAGCCATGTAATATCCTCTCTACAAAAGCCCTTGACCAAACATATCCGTTTCAAACACATGAAAGCCCATTCATAAGCATCCCCTACAATCCAGGGAGTGCCTGCCGGAACCGGTCATCGGCACGACGAAGCGGGCCAAGCTCTACGCACGCCCCCGAGGGACGAAGGGTTCCATAAGGGCTCGATAAACCTAGGTGAAGGGCTCGACAAGGGTTACTGGAGCATGTAGGAGCATTGGGTTTGGGGCTGGAGGTTAAGGGTTTCGGGCTTGGGGCCTCGGATTGAGGGTTGAAGGGGACTGCCCACTACTACTACTACTACTACTACTACGACGACGACGACTACTACTGTCGCAGCATAATTCCCTGCCCGAACCCCAAACCTCTGAATCCCAAACCCTGCAATCCTAAACCTTTTAGGCCGAAACCCTAGACCGTCACAGGACCGTCAAAGAGCCCCAAAATAGTCATCCGTATAGAGGCGCCTGATTGCCGATAAAGACCTGCCATAAACCCCAAACGCTAAGCCCCAGGCCTTAGACGCAGAGACGGGCAACACTCTCTGGAGTTTCACTGCTCCGGCCGCTCGGAACTGTCATTTAGGGTTGAGGATCCCTTTCTAGGGTTCCTTCAAGGGATCTAGAAGGGTCTCTCTAGGGTTTCTGTAAAGATAGGGTTTCTATACGGCTTTAGGGTGTGTATAAGTTTCTCTAAAGCACTACCTAGACCCTCCATCTACCCTCTATTAGACCCTAAATGCCCCTTATTTGGGACCATATACCCCTATTTGAGGGTACAAGGAGGGTCCTGGTATAGGGAATCTATAGGGTCTTCATACTGCATTAATTAGATAGGGGGTGTGGGATCTCACTGCTTCGGCCCAGCAGAGCCCAAAAGCTGTGGAGCCTGAAGCCACCAGCCGTAGGGTTGGGAAAAGTCGGTCTAAGGTAGGGTTTATAGGGTTTTTGGGGTTTTAGGGAACCCTTTTCAGGTAGGGTTTAGTGGCTTCAAGTGGGTTTAGGGTTTTACGGTGTAGGATTTAGGGAGCCCTAAACCATCGAAGGGCATGCAAAGCACTCACGTCGTACGCTCCCGAGATCTGAGGTTCAACGGGTCTTAGGGTTTCAGGGTTTCAGGATTTAGGGTTCACGGTTTAGGGTTTAAGGGTTTAGTCGTTTAGGGTTCAGGGTGTGCTGGAGGCTTGGACTGGGTGGCTGTAGCAAACTCCTCAGACGTAAGCTCTGCGAGTCTAGGTCGCCCAGTTGCATCGTTGTTTGGCCTTTTTTTGTTGGAGGTCTTCACCACTGAGCAACTAAATTTTAACACTTCCGAGGAGTATTCGCTCTCCTGCGCAGGCCCCTCGGAAGCATCGCGGTTTTCCCATTTTGGCCAGGGGTTCTGAAAAAGGGTTGTGGTTTGGTGCTTAGGGGTTTGAAGGGCTTTTGGAAGGCTTTGCTTGCATAAGAGGGGTTGATGTCGATAGACCCGAATAGAGGTGCACCTGGACTCTAGAAATCCCTTGCCGTCATCCATGCGGTTGTTTACTCGCTTAGTAAGGTGTTTCCCAGATTGGGATGTGGCTTGTGCTACTTGTAGTTCGCAGAAGATGGCCTGAATCTTAAAGTGGCAGCCCCTACAACAACCTCTCCCCAAAAATGCGAGTAGCCTACCGGCCCTCTTATAACGGTTTGTTTGTGATTCCGCGTTTGATTCTGCAGAGGTTGATGTCTGAGAATGTCTTCGGAGTGCCTGGGACGTTTGACAGAGTTTCCTCTTACCGTGCTCTTCGTATCAGGCTCTTCGTATCAGACGAAGTCAGCAGTAAGTAGTCTTCAACTTTCGGAATAGTTAGTTACCACCTCCTCGAGAGTACAGTGTCACGCCAAAAAAGCTGCAGTATAGGAGCCCAAATAATAATGGGCCCCAAACCTCTATTCCAATTGTTAAGGTCCCTATATTACAGCCTAGATAAAGACATGCGCGCTTCAACAGGCAACACTCCAGCGGAAATCTGCTGCCCGAGTATGTGGAGCCAGCCCACCCTTGCTGCAGAAACTCAGCATTAATGAGCAAGAGTTCAGGGTTTAGGTGTTAAAGGGGTTTAGGATTTAGGTCCAGGGTTTAGGGTTTAGGCCTGGGTTGGACATAGCCACCAATGGACTTACAGTAGTCGCAGCACTGGTGCTTGAACTCGACGATTTTATAGTTCAAGAAGCTGCCAGCAGTGCTGGCACCAGTAGCGCTGCTGCTGTGCTATTCAATGTTGCTGCTTCTAGTGTTTCTGCTAGAGACGGCGGCGACAGCTAGTGCTGCCGGCTCTGCACTACTGCTACTACTACTCCCGCTACTGCTACTCCATTTGCGTTACTACTACGGCTACGACTTAGAAGACGACGACGACGACTTCTTACTAAAACTACTGCTGCTGGTGCTGCTACTACTATTGCTACTACTATTGCTGCTGCTGCTACTACTACTACTACTACTGCTGCTGCTACCGGCACTGCTACCACGATTGCTTTTACTGTAAAGGCAGGCCAACACCAGTTCAACAAGCAAAACTGAAAGTCATCGTTGCAGTGATAAGAATCTGAAACGTGTGATCCACCAAAGCGTATTGACAAAGCCAGGAGAGGATTCTAAAGCCCCGAACCTCTTAGTCTTAATCCGGAAAAAGCTCCGATTCCCGAACGCAAGGACGGACGGGTCTACGCAGCTCGCCTGCAAGACACGTCCACTTTGGCGTAGCGGACATGGGAAGCGCAAAGATCAACTAACCAGTGGTTGTGGGGTTCCCTTGGCTCTTTAACTCCTTATTTAATAGGGATTATCATCATCCCCGGCTCCTTAGCTCCTCCAATATCAATGTCAAGTCAAGCTTTCTGATTTTATTGCCTTTAGGGGGGTTTTGCGTCAGGCGCAGGTGTTTATAGGAGTTCGGAGACTGTAGAGGTTTTTGCGGTTTCTCAGGGTTATAGGCTCTGTGTGGGTTCTCAAGGTGATCTCGCAGACTAAGTTGGGGCTAGAGTTTCGCGTTTAGGGCTTGGGTCTACGATTATTCTTCGGGTTTAGGGTTTTAGGGCGGTTCAGGGTCTACGATTATTCTTTGGGGGTGTTGTCGGAGCTCCGCCCAGAGCCATGCGAGGTCAACTGGTCAGGTGGCAAGTTCTTCGCGCACTGCGCTCAGTCCATGTTGAATTTGCGGTTTCTGTCGCAGAAGCACTTTGCATTCTTCAGGGGTTGAGCTGATCAAGCGTTATGCAGAGCTAGCAACGAGCTCTTAAACATGCTAGGACGGAGATGCCTAGTAGAACACGAAACAGCAGCAACACAGTCAGCAAGATTTTCGTGTGGACAGACAGCCAGACAAAGCAGAAGGGCCGATTGCCGGGGAATACTTAAGTTAGGTGTGCTACAAAACTTGAGAATGCACGTTCTTCTGCAAAGTGGTCTGAGTTGCTTATAAAGTACTTCGAAACTGCGACAGCGTGCTGCCACGAAGCCCAAATAAGGCCCGAATCGGAATCGGATCCACAAGCCCCGAAACCCTACCCAGAGGCCCAAAGTAGTTCCTTTTGGGGATTACCTTATAGAACTCCTACATATGAACCCCCAAAAGGAACTACTTTGGGGCCTGTGGGTAATCCCTAAACTCGATTTACAAGGAAGCTGAGGTCTCCGGGCCCAACACCCTAACCCCGACATCCAAAACCCAAATCCCATCCCTTAATCCCTAAACCCTAAACCCCTGCTTGAAGGTTAAGGGTAAAGCCCAAATCCCAGCCCTTCATCCTTAAACCCCTGGTTTAGGAAGTTTAGGGTTTAGGGTTGGGGCATGATAAGACCGGAGACCCCCCTGAAGCAGAACAGCTCTGAGAAGAGCCGGGGGTAGAGGACTCATAAGCCCTGTCAACCCTACCCCACATGGGAGTTTCCGAAAAGAAGGGGTACCTTATTTGGGGGTGCTTAAAGCAAGGGTCCTACTACTTAGGGTGCTATATTCGGGTCCCCTGTTTTCGCAAACTCCCCTCCTAAGCTCTAGACTCTAAGCCCAAAGTCCTCGAGCCCGGTTTACGGCCGTTGAGGGCCCCAGGAAACCCCGAAATCCTAAGCGCTGCCCCCTCCCAAAGGGTCCTATGTACTGTTATTGGGGATACTTCCCATAATAGTGATTCCTGATATGGAAACCTTACATTCTACTATATCGGTACATAGGACCCTTTGGGCCTAGAAGCAGGTTGATGGATGCGAACCAAGACGGTTCGATCGACGCCAATGACCCGAACGAGTTCTCCTTCTACCACCATGGGAAGGCCTGGGTCCCTCTAAGTCCCTCTACTTGGAGGGTCGGGGGACTTAGTAACTGGTTATTTTAGGGACTTATAAGTGCCATAACCCCAATTAGGGTCCCTTTTAGGGTACTTATAAGTCTACTGACTACCTAGTTACTAAGTCCCCCGACCCTCCAAGTAAGGACTCTCAGGCTCTAAGGGTTTGGTTACAAGGATTCAGGGAGTCTTGCTCCAATAAGATATGTGCTTTGTTTAAGAATAAGCATAATCATCGTAAGCATCATAATGATCACAAGGATAACAAACAGAAGAGGAGTCTTGGAGATTCGGGGTATCTCGCAGAATGTGATTTGTTGCCAGTTGTTTCTGTTATTATTTCACGATAGGTTGGTGGTTCGAACTTGTTGCTTGAAGCAGGTTTTTTAAACTTGATAGTTTGGACTAGGGTTCAGGGCCTAGGGATTTCAAGCGGCTTGTATAGGTTAGTTTGGAGCGTCTTAGGAGTTCGGGGGCTTGTAGAGTTTAGCGGGTCTCGGAGTTTAATTGGGGTTTAGAAACTGGGCTCTTTGGCTCTTCGTCTTCTATGATACAGACCCTTCAGAAAGGGCACCTATATGGGAGTTTCCGAAAATTAGAGGTACCTTTTTTTCGGGTCCTGATAATAAGGATCCTACTATTTAGGATACAAAATTAGGGTCCCCTATTTTGGGAAACTCCTATATGTAGACCGTAAGTAGACTCCTAGACCCTTGGCCTTCCAACGGGGAGCCTCTGGACCTTAAGCTCTGGACCCTAAACCTTCACAAAGGGAACCTCTAGACCGTAAGCCTGTATAAGACACTTGGAGGTTGAAGAGGCAGAATCGTCCCATTGGGGCTTCCTGTCCACCAGAGTTTTAGAGGCAGAAGCAGAGAAAAGAGAAAACTATTCCGAATAACCTTGCTACAGGGCTTGTTTAACGGTACTATAAAACCCTAAACCCTAAACCATAAAGGTTTGAGAAGGGTATTACAAGCATTCTCAGATACAGAAGCCTGAATCCATACTAAGTCCTTGGTGCTCCTCGTTCTACGTGTAAAACGTCCAGAGACTCCAATATCCCTTAGGTAAGGAATATACCTCAATTACATCATATTAGGGATCCTACTATAGTTTAAGGTATATTCCTTAATTAAAAAATACTGGAGTGTCTGGGTGTGTAACATGCCTCAGAAACCTATTCTAACTGTTCACGCACCTGTATATTGCCCAAACCTTATTTTAGTTTGGAGCTTCTAGCAGGTGTTCAC